CCTGCCCCTGTACTCAGCACTAGTGAGGCCGCACCTGGAATATTGTGTCCAGTTTTGGGCCCTTCGCTTTAAAAGAGATATTGAGCTCCTGGAGCGAGTCCAAAGAAGGGCGACTAAACTGGTCAAGGGGCTGGAAAATAAAACTTATGGGGAGCGGCTAAGGGAGTTGGGGCTGTTTAGCCTGGAGAAGAGGAGGCTGAGGGGAGACCTGATTACAGCCTACAAACACTTGAGAAAAGATGGTGGGGAGTTAGGGAAAGGGCTCTTTACATTAGTGTTGGGTGATAGAACAAGAGGAAATGGGTATAAGCTTAGTCAGGGGAGATTCAGGTTGGATGTTAGGAAGTATTTCTTCTCTGAAAGGGTTGTCAGCCACTGGAATAGACTGCCCAGGGAGATGGTTGAGTCCCCATCCCTGGATGTGTTTAAGAATAGGGTGGATGATCTACTTAGCGATATGGTTTAATGGGGATTAGGGATGGTTGCACTCGATGATCTCTAAGGTCTTTTCCAACCTAGAAATCTATGAATCTATGAATCTATGTCCTTCAGGCATGCACAGCATATGGGTTACTGCCTACTTGACAGCAGTTATCCTCTGTCCCCACACACACATCACTGGTAACTTTTCCCAACACAGTTCACATTACATAGGCGAAAAACGTCTTAGGAAATCAGGAATAAAGAGTATTCAATACCTGTTTAAAGAAGGTGTTGAGGGTCAGAGAGATTGTTTTAAAGTTTGGTGCTGGATAGCTGTCCTCCGAGCTGAGACTTCTCTCAGAAAGTCTTCTTGCCTGCAGCAGCATTGCCCTCTTGTCACTAGCAGATCCTTTCCCTTCAAAGGGAAATTAAATGAAGCATCAACTTGCTTTGTGTTGCTTTAGTACAAAGACTTTCAGAATACACTAGAAATCCACAACTTCCCAGAAACATCAGAGAATAGAGAGAGTACCTAAAACATTCCTGTGCTTTTATTTCAGACCATGTGGAGCAATTGAATGCAAGACACATCGAGTGAATTGACGTTATTTCTGCCACAGAGCACAAGCTTATACAAATTTTTAGTTCATGGATTACACAGCACATTGGTCAATGTTGTTGACCAATGGTCCTGTATACTCTAGAACATATGTATTTTGACTGCCTTGCCCTGTGTTGCAAATGAACTCCATATGGTAAAGGGAGTTTTATTCCTACAAAGCCAGTGTACAGCAAAAACTGGGCCTAAACCATGGAAAAATATTTAGCACACGTAAAAATAAATATGCAGAGATCAAACAGTGAGCATATAAAGTTGTATGTGTTTATAGCCTGAAAAGGAAGGCTGAGAAGACACGACTTTGAATCTGTTGTTCACTCTTGATTCTAGAGTGAATGACATTGTTTCCTGCACACAGTCCTACCGGAAAGTCACCTTGCACTAGTTAGAAAAGTTGGACAACTACCGTTTAAACCTTCAGCCTCAGGTATTTCTCGTTCAAGTGTTGAAAGGTTGAAGAAATTAGTTAGGCTTATGGGAATCCAGGCGAACGGCATTCTGTATTTCCCCAACCGCTGACAAAAGGATTCAGCTTGGGCTTTCAGTTTTTCAATCTTTTCTTTTGTCTAAGACAAAGACAATAATGACTGTTTAAAAAGCATTGTTATTTTAATACTACTACAGATAAAAAAATCGAAATTACATCTTTACAATTCAGTAAACAAGTCGCATTCATATCTCCCGTGCTTTCTTGTTACATCACTGTCAGGATCCTAGCTGTTTTGATTTGTACATTCACTTCTCCTTTCTTTTCAATAAGTCCATTTTCATTATAGAAAAGAAGAATGCATATCTCAAGCCCAGACATGAACATTGGCAGCTTCTGCTTACTTCATCAGATACAGAAACAACGTTCTGCTGAAAGCAATATTCTAAAGATGAGAGACGTGTGGAAGGCCAGCAAACACTGTCATTCTGCTCCAGGAAGGTAAATGACTGTGAATTCCTTGAACAGAGCTCATGTTATCTAGGGATGACAGCGCTGAACTGGCCACATACACACTACAACAGGTTGTTTGCCCATCCAAATCAATAACTTGTCTCTGAGGTACAAATATTTCTGCTAACTCCACATCGCATTGTCACCTCCTTCGGTCAACCCATCTGCTTTGTGACTCAAGACTTTGACAGTATTGATATCCAAAGGGGTCAGTAATGAAAGTGCACCTTGCCTTCTCATGACTTCTTCCTGTCAGTCACCAGACTGCTTGCACCGTGAATGCACCAACTGGCTTCCTCCTCAAAGTTCTTGGGGTTCTGTTCTATTCCAAAGTGTCTGCTCTTTCTCTGCATTTTTCTTTCATGCATTTTTTTGATCTAAACACTCTTTATAGCTATTTACTTACCTTGCCAGCCTCACTTTCTTTAAGAACCATGTAGGGTTCTGCACAATCTCCGATTTCTCCTTGCTGAAGCACTTTTTCTATCTACAAAAAGCAGTAAAATATAACACTCAAAAGAAAAAATATCACTCAAATAGTAACATGTTCTTTCTCTAGCAATAGAAAAGAGCCTGCCTAAATGGACAATACAGAATCCTTAAAACTGTCTTTATGGAGTAACCGATACTAAACCTTCTCCCAATTTTCCATGTGGTTTGTTAGAAAGCAGAAAATACATATGTGACAACATCATCAGTCAGAATTAGAAAGATTAACACATTTCAAATGAAGTGGTTCAAGCTGATTCAATTTCAGAATTAAAAAAACCCAAGATGATGCAAAGTGCACTAAAACAAAGCCAAAAACCTCCACAGAATGTAATGAAAAATTTAAAAAATCGCTTATTTAATTTTAATTTAAATTTCCCTTAGGCAGAGGCAGGAAATCCTAAATACTTAGTAGAACTAGAATAGAGGGTATCAACATAACTTCTTAGCTTGGAAGTGAGATATATCAGAGGACACCTGCACACACACTATTAAAAACTATCAGAATTCATCTCAGCTACAGGAATCTCATGTTTGTCAGCTCCACAAACTCAGACAACAGGCACAGCCAGGAACTGGAAGAATGGTGTTGAAGTAGCACTGCAACATACCTTTATTACTAGGTATATATCTGATGAGGGATAAGTGACGGAAAATACTGCTGATCTTGCCTGAGTAGACAAGTCAATGGAGGCTGTATGAGAACGCAAGAATCCTCTTAATGAATCAGAGTTGAGGTCACAGTGAAAATTTTCTGAGATCTTGAAAAGAGAAAGAATTAAAATGTATTGCAAGCAAAAATGCATCAAATTTTATTTAAAAAATTCAAAAGTAGTAACTGGAACTACAAAATAAACAATTGCAAGCATGTGACTTTGATTGAATAAAAAGAATCCTGGATCAGACTGCATGTGCGAAGAAGTTGCATGTTTTTTGTAAGTTTTCCTAGACTATTACTCTAGAGATAAAAACCCAAGTCAATTGAACAAAAATACTGTACGCACACTTACCTTTTTTCTTTCTTTTATGTCATAGAGAGCTATGCATGCAAACAAAGGTTCAATCTCTATATCAAACCTGTTAAGGAGAGACACACAGGACACTGATTAATACCACACTCTTATTACTCTGTATAATAAAAAAATGAGAGGGCTATATTTCAGCTGCACTTCCATTAGAAAATAAGGAGAAATATTTACTTCCAGACCACAGCTCTCTCCAAGTCTGGAGGATTTTTTGATGAGTGCATTTTATTAGATGATTTCAAAAGGAAAAGAAGGGAAGAAAACTGCATGCAACGTATTTTCCAAATTTGTCAGAAAGATGATCTCAGATATCAGTTAGAAACGATTACACCTTTCTTGATTTTTTTTTTCTGTTTATCAAGGCCAGTAGCATGAGACCAATCTAGTTTATAGGAGATATATATAATTGGGGCTCATTCCCAACTCCTTTTCACCGTGACAAGTTGGAGACTTCCGTAACGGTGGACAGGAGTAGTCCTCTGTTACACTAAGAAGGAACAAGGAAGTGTGTAGACGCTTGCTGAACAGGACACCTGCAGTGGTGTAGCAGGGATGGCAGCAGTACCCTGGTACAAACAGAGAAACAGTTACTTACTTCAGAGTTTGCAGCTTCACCAAAATCCTGTTGCCCAGATGTTCCCTTGGGCGATCAGGCACTGGCCGTATCTCCACTGCATCTTCCTATCATTAAACAGTTACTCTAGTCATACTCAAGTAAAACAACTCTAGATTTACATACTTAAATAAACCCTTTATGTGATGTTACCTGGGCTGCTGCTACAGACCTACAGACTAGCACCTTCGCTACTCAGCAGGAGTTTCATCTCTTCGGAGACGAAAGAAAACTGTTCTGTATTTCTGAATACTCACACTTCTGACCCCCACCTGGCATTTACACTGAATATTTATCCTTCTGGGCTCCAAGCAAGCGTTACGGCAAGGGGCAGCACCCTGACACAGCCGTGCCACCAGCACGTGGCTTGACCCACACGGAGAGGGGTATAACCTCAGGCGACACCACGAGTCCCAGTACAACCCCCTGCACAAACATTCCAGATAGCCGACCAGGAGGGTGTGGTGATGTGCCTTCACCACATCAGTATCCAAAGGAGACACGTCTCCAGGTGTCCTAGTTTTAGCTGGGACAGAGTTTTTAACAGCTAGAAGAGCTCCGTGTTTTGGTTTTACTCAGAGGCTCACTCTGAGAAGAATGCTGATAGCAAGTAGATGTTTGAGACTCCAAGGCTGGAGTGCAGAAGCACGGCGGGATAAGGGGGAAGCATAGCTGGGACAAGGGGGACACGATTCCCCTTGTGATTTGTAGTGGAACTTAAGACTGAGGGCCAAACTGGCCAATTAGTATTCCATATCATGCAGCGTCATGCCCAGTATAAAAGTGAGGGTCAGCCGAGAAGGGCTTTTGCGCTTTGGCTCTTTTGCGCTTTTGCTCTTTTGCGCTTGTTGCGCTGTTGCTCTGTTGTTTTTCTTTCTTTTTTCCCTCTCTCTCCCAGTACTCCCACTCTCGGAGTACTCTCTCTCTCTCTGCCCCTCTCTATTTCGGGGCCTCGCGTTCGTCCGGGATTGCAGCTTCGGGACGAGACGGGCTTCGCATACGAGGGGGTGGTGAGCACCTACGCTGTATTAAATCATCTGTATTAAATCCTTCTTATCTCAACCCACGGGTTTCCCGTTTATCCTTTAATTCTCTCCCTCATTCCTGGGGGTGGGGGAAGGGGAGTGACTGGCTAGGGGCGGGGGGTTTAACCTAACCCACGGACACCAGGCCACAAATCCTGTTTTTCGGCTGCTAACGGTGCAGCGTTAAACGGCCATGGGGAAGGACGGTGGGGCAAGCCAGCCCCGCGCCCACCTCATCCACGGCGGGG